CATTTTGATTAATACAAATAATCTTAATATTTTGATACAAATTTGATTTGCAAAAATGTTTTTTTGCATGATATAAAATAAAAATTAAAAAACTAGTGAATTTACATATTTTGTAATTTTTTAAGTTTAAGTTACAATTATAATAACACAAAATTTAAGGAAAAAATATAATTGTCATAAAAGTTTTCTCTCTTTTTATGTAATACTTTTATATATGTAATAATGTGAATAGAATTGTTCAAAATCATGTGCTAGATTAATAATTATATAATTTTATTCGTTTAAAACTTTAAATATAATTAAGTTATACATATATTTATATATTTCAGGATCGGATTGGATATCGCTTCCCAAAATTTTAATATTTGTGATTTGCTTTGATTTTAACAGATATTGAATTTTAGTATTTGCTTTGATTTGAAAGTTTACGAATATCCAGAATTTTCGAATCGAATCAAAACGAATAACGAATCGAATCAGATATAACATATAAAATGCCCAGCCCTAGTTTTCACAAAACCGCTTTGAAAATACGCACAGTGTGTCACCATTCACACACTAAAGAGTGTAATTTCAAGACTTATGTGTGTGACACAAGAACTATTACTCAAAAGTTACAATATATATAAATTGAAGAGGAGTGTAACTTTTCATATTTGAAGTGATGATGTGGTATTAAGATCATACCGAAACTTTTTAGGAAAAGTGTTACATATGTTTCGAATTCAAAATGGTTATATATACTTGTTTCAAGGACAAATCTAATTTCATATGAAGATTTGAAGATTCGCCGGTTTAAACCGCTCCTAAGATTCTATTCTGAGATGCACGTCAGTGTGTGGGTGACAAGATAGTGAAATAAGTTGGTGGTATTTATGTGGAAACTACTGCAATTAGATATTGGTGTATTGGTGCTGTTGGTAATGGTTAAGCATGATGTATTTGATAATGTTTCCAAAATCAACGTACAGAAAATTAATAAACACGTTTATGCTGATACTATTTGGGCTTTTTTGTTTTGTTTTAGTGTTTATGTGTTAGATTTTGAAAATGTAGATTAAAAAAAAAATTATTTTACTTTACATTTGATACAGCTAACATTGTTTTCTTTATTGTTACATAGATCTAATTCAAAACAATATTCTCTTAAAACTATATAAACATAGAATAATCTCAAAGCCATACAAATCTTTTATAGTATAAAACAAAAGCTAATTAATAATTTTGTGAGTGACAGATCTTTTTTTTATCATTTTTTCTTTTCACAGATTATTAGTTTTCAGAAATTGTTTTAGTTGCTCCAAATACAATAAAATATTCTCTTCACTATAAAATAAAAGTTAGTTGTTAACTATCCGTGTAACTTACACGTGTCTTTTATTATTTTCTGCTTACTAATTATTAGTTTTCAGAAACTGTTGTAGTTGCTCAAAATTTTTTTTTACTAATTTTGCTAAAAATTGTTGTTCAAGCGATGCCAATTTACTCGGGTGTTTAAACTACCAAAAGAAATTCGTAAGGATATAAATAGTATACTAGCTCTGTTCTGGTGGAATTCTGAAGATAAAAGAAATCTTCATTGGTATATTTGGAAGAGAGTGTTCATTCCTAAAGGTGAAGGTGGTCTTGGGTTTAAAAAAATTGGAAATGTTTAACCTGGCTTTGTTAGGTAAACAAGTATGGAGGATACTCCAACATCCTTCCCGTTTGATGGCAAGGGTATTAAAGACTCGATATTTTCCTGATTGTTGTATTCTAGAAGCAATCCCAAAGAGAAAATCCTTTTATGTTTTGAAATCAATTTTATATATGATCAAGACATGGATAGATCCTTGGATTCCTGATCACCCACCTAAGTCTCCACGGCTCCTTGGTGATATTAATGATACGGATCGGGTCAGTCAAATGTTTATAAAGGAAGTAATGAGTGGGATATTGGCAAGTTTAGAGAGAGGGTTGTCGAAGAAGATGTTGACCAGATTTTACAGATCAAGTTTAGTCCCTTTGCAAAAAAAGACTTATTGGGGTATCACTACAATGAAAATGGAATCTATTCAGTTAAGTAAGGGTATTGGCTTGCAACACACTTGCCAAATGTGGCTCCATTAGTTCCAACGTTTGGTGATCCGGAGGTGAAAGAAAAAGTATGGCGAACAAAGGTACCTTCTAAGATTCAACATTTTTTGTGGAAACTAAACTCAAGAATTCTCGCTACTGGAGTTAATCTAAAAAAAATACATATTCTTCAAGATGCAACTTTTCCAAGATGTGGAACCGATAATGAACAGTAGAACATTTATTCTTTGTGTTTTAATGCAAAAAGGATTTGGAGAGGATCTGGAGTGTCAAATAACATCATTAATGGTTCTTCGGCTACTTTAGAGGATAAAATTTCAGAAAGGTTGTTGTGTTGTACATCTTCTCAGCTAAGGCATGGTGATATGCCTGTATGGATTTTGTGGAGAATTTGGAAAAGTAGAAATGTGTTAATTTTTCAACATAAAACAACAAGTTGGAATACAATTCTTCAATATGCTAGAGTGGATTCAGAGGAATGGAGATATGTGGAACAAGAAATGAGAACAAGTCATCCTTCCAGGATACATGCGAATGAAAATCACACAAGATGAAGAAGACCAGAGCAAGGGTGATATATGGTGTTTTTGACACTATTGTGTATATGTTTTGCAACCGGTTTTCAATGTTTTGCCGAGTCAGACCAGTCGTTTTGAGTCAGTTCAGGTCATCTGGAAGGCTAAGGAGCTTAAGAAAGGTGCATGAAGAAAGATGTAGGAATCAGAGTCTTTTCCTGCGAAGCAATCACACGGAGCAGTCAGATGGTTGATCATGCCGGAGCAATCATGCGGAGTAATCCGAGGACCGTTCCCGACATTTATGAAAACTCCGATATCTTTTGAAGACAGACCCTAATCTCTTTTCCTCTCTGGAAGTCGAGGGCGCCTCCATATAAAAGCGCCTCGTTCATATGTTTTATTTTCTTACGCTAGTTTTTGCAAGAGACCTAGAGATATTTTGGCGATTTGCTATTGTAAAGGAGGTTTAGGGGTTTGTCTCTATTTCTTAATTCACATCTAAAAATGCAAGCTTCTAATTTTATAAACATGATCATGTTTCATATATGTTTAGATAATAATATTTTTGAATGAGGCAGCAAGTATTAAGCTTCATGCTGATAAAATAATATCTAAACATTAAAAAAAATTAATGTTCAAACGTGAGTGTTGGTGGAACATGATGATCCAATTTTCAGTATATAAATATAATACCATCTATTTTGCAAGCAATCAAAATCATATGTTTTGATGACATTAATTATAATTCGGTAAGCTTAGAGCAGAAGTTAAAAGGTAAAGGAAATTAAAATTAATAGTTTGTTGCATTATTTCGGTTAATCAGAGCGCAAAGGAAAATGAAAATGAAATTAAACAATAAAAAAAATTTTAGATTCAAAGATATTCTGTTGAATATATTTATAACAAAAAGTGTATGTTTTAAATAAAGGAATGACATAGTGTGGTAAATAATTGTAAAACAAAAAGGTACCTCAAAAATGACCTTCTGTTTTAATAGTATTGATAAGTTAAATGTGTGTTAATGGAATTTTGTATACAAATCGTAGTATGTTTTATTTAAAAATATAAATATAGCGAAGAAATTCACATGAAGTTTTTTTTAAAGGTTATGATGAATATAAACATTCAGTTAGATTTGAAATATAAAAGTAATGGAATAAGATTTAAAAACCATAAAGTGAATATTATATAAGATTTATACAAAGGGGGAAATGAAATGAGATATATAGAGTATTTGAAATTTTTATATAACTAAACAACCGAAAATGTTCAAAATATGAGTGAAAACTCGGATAGAAAAAATTTGGGCAGTTGGACTATAATAAGATTTTTTCAATTTTTTTGTTTGGAAAATAAAAGATAATAAAAAGCATAGTTTTAAAATATTCCAGTGGTATTTGGTTGTAAGTACTTTCAAAAGAGAAGGACACTTATAAAAAAGTCTTGTTTTTAATAATATAGATGGAAACTAGGGGTGGACGTTCGGGTATCCATTCGGGTTCGGTTCGGATCTATTCGAGTTTCGGGTTTTCGGGTTCACAAATTTTAATCCCATTTGGATATTTCTAAATTTTGGTTCGGGTTCGGTTCGGATATTTGTGGGTTCGGTTCGGTTTGGATAACCCATTTAAATTGTTTTTAAAATTTTAAGATTGATTATATACTTTAGATTTCTAAAAATGTATAAACCAAAATAATATATTACAAATAATTGAATAATATAAGTTAAAATACCTAAAATTAATATATAGATTAGTTTGATTTGAATATTTGGATTGTGAATCAATAATTTCTTAAAATATTTTTGAAGTTTTGAGTGTAATTTAGCAATTTTAGACATGTATGTTTGACTATCTACATATATTTACAAGTATTTTGAACAACTTCAAAGTATTTTATATATATTGAATGTTTTTTATATACATTAAATCTAAAAATAATTAATATATATAGGTATATAAATCTATTTCAGATATATTTGGATACCCGAAATACTTCGGTTCGGGTCGGATTCGTTTTCGGTTCTTTAAATACCAAAATTTTGAACCCATTCGGATATTGAATCAATTTCAATTCGGGTTTGATACTAATTTTTTGGATTGGGTTTGGTTCGGTTCTTCGGATCCTGGTGTTTTGCCCAGGCCTAATGGAAACGTAATCATATGCTATGAAATAATCGAATTTATTCCAAATGAAAACTAAAACTTGGAAATGAGCCTAATAAATGGGGCCAAGTTTATTTTTCTCAACTTACTAAAAAAAATCTGGTAACTTAAAATGAGCCTAAAGAAATGCAATAGGCATGAACTAAATAGGCCTTGTTTGCTGAGAGCCCAAGTTACCTAAAAGAGAAGGAAATCAAAATCTCTTCGTGTCTTCTCCTTCTTCTACCATAAGACGCAGACAGAAGAGGAGGAGGGAAAAAGAAAGAACCCCTAAAAAAGTCTAAAACCCTTGTCGGAATTAAGAAGCACTATGGAGTGTAGTAGCTGAAGATTTTTCTTTTCCGAGATGCGTTTTTTGCTTCGTCTCCCTCAAACCCACCTGCGGAAACTGACTTGTTCGATGTCACTACTCATGGGTTCGAAGCAGTTCCTCGAGCTTTGTCTTCTTCCTTCTGTTGCAGCTTCGTCTTCCCTTTCTCCTTCTTATACCCTTCAAAGGCAACTCTCTTCCGCTCCTAGAAGATTTCGTCCGGTTTTGGCCTCGAGACCCGTGTCCAAAAGCAGCCCTTATCACCAAGGGCCCAATGGTGTATCTCCCTACACTTCAATCTCCAGAGCCCCAAATCCTGGTACTGTCTTGAATGCTTGAGTTCTCTGTTTCGAATAAATAATTGTTTGAGTTAATTGTTACTCTATTTAAAGAATTGCTCAACGTTTCGTGACTTGTAGTTGATCCTGAAGATGGTGCTGTGCAATCTAGATTAGCCAACTTGAGGCTGAAATTGGCTGAAAATGGAATTGATGCTCAAAACTGTCCCTCCGGACAATACAGTGGTTTGATATGTCCCCAGGTAAAAACTGTCTTCTCCACAAGCCTCATGATATATGCCAAGACTTGAGTACTATGTTAGTGTTTTCCTTTTTCTTTTGGCATTGGTGTTGAGTAACTGTATATACTTAACACTGTTCTTAATGTGTACATCAGTGTGAAGGTGGTGACTCTGGAGAAAAAAGTTTGTCTCTTTTCATTGCTGCTGATGGGTATGCAAATCTTATTTTCTCATCAAACGATCTTTGGTTTCGATTTTTTTTTAATGATTTTTCTTCTTCTTTTAATTCACAGTTCTTCGGCTACATGGAATTGCTTTCGAGGGAAGTGTGGGTTGAAAGGTGGAGTACGGGTGAGTTGCAACACCAAGCATGACAGACGTTTTGTTGAAATACAAATTGATTATCCGCATTCCTTTCTGCAGGTGGATGGTAAGTTTACTACTTCTGTAGTTCCAGTGGGGAAGGCTGAAAGAAAAGTTACAGTGGAGAGTTTAGAGCTAGAACCTCTGTGCGATGAGGTTGTTTGTTGTCTTCTACCTACTTATTGTTCTTTCTTCTGTGTTTACTGCTTTCTTGAGAAAATAAAACTTCTGAATTTGATACTTCATCTCGGTGTAGTTAGTATGAGCTTGATTAACCTTATTGTATTATGCTTCAGATTGAGGATTATTTCGCTGCAAGAATGATTTCAGCAGAAACACTCAAGAGAAATCGAGTTATGCAGAAAAGAATAGGTGATGAGGTACTTACGAATATTCTTCTGAATCTGTTATGTTGTCAGATTCTTACGGAGATGTGGCTTGGCTCTCATTGCTCCATCTTGATTGCAAATCATGAACATTCTTTTCCACATGAACATGCTTGCCTCTGGTCATGTTTTTCTTCCTACCTTAATTTATTGTTTCATTTATGCGGCAGATTGTAATTGCTTTTACGTATTGGCAAAGAGGGGAGCTTGTTAGTTGCAAGTACCGCTATCTAACTAAGAAGTTCTTTCAGGTCCATGTCATACAAATTCCTTTTCTAATATCAGACATGAACAACACTCTCTCGGGCTTTCTGACTATCTCTTACGTGCTTTTATGGCTGTGTTTCCTTCAGGAAAAGAACACGCGGAGGATCTTTTATGGGCTTGACGATATTGAAAAAGCATCTGAAATCATTATAGTACGTATGCCTTTACATCCTTTTAAATGGTGGCTTGGCTGTGAAGAACTGTATTTAATTCTTTGGAGCAAATTAACTTTAGGTTGAAGGGGAAATAGACAAACTTGCGGTGGAAGAGGCAGGTTTTCGAAATTGTGTGTCCGTTCCTGATGGAGCTCCAGCGTCGGTTTCTTCAAAGGAAACTCCATCTGAAGACAAGGTTTGTCTGGTCTTTATGTTTCATACATATTTATCCAAGTTTTCTTATTTGATTCCCTAAGAACCTTACTCTTCTGCGAAGCTAGGACACGAAGTATAAGTTTCTATGGAATTGTAATGACTACTTAAAGAAGGTGTGTGGCGCAATTTATTATTTTGTGTGATATGTAAATTAATTGTCTAAGTGTATGGATATAAAAGGTTTTTTAATCTATAGGCATCTCGGATTGTTATTGCTACTGATGGAGATGGAGCTGGTCAAGCTCTGGCTGAAGAAGTTGCACGGCGTCTGGGCAAGGAAAGATGTTGGCGTGTCAAATGGCCCAAGAAAAGTGACGATGAGCATTACAAAGATGCTAATGAGGTCAGAACATATTATTTTCCTCTGTGGTATAAATGACTGCAACGGTTCCTGATTTGGATGACATTCTTAGGTGCTTATGTCTATGGGACCTCATTCACTCAGTGAAGCTATTCGAAGTGCTGAGCCATACCCAATACAAGGATTGTTCTCCTTTAAAGATTTCTTTGATGAAATTGATGCCTATTATCATCGGACTCATGGACATGAGTATGGTGTTTCAACCGGATGGAAAACTTTGGACAACTTCTATAGTGTAAGCGTTAAAGTTATGCTTTCGTTAAAAAAAAATCTCATCATCTGATGTGTTATGCTACTGATCAGGTTGTGCCAGGGGAGTTGACCGTTGTGACAGGGGTTCCTAATTCTGGAAAGAGTGAATGGATTGATGCTTTGTTATGTAATCTCAACCATAGTGTTGGCTGGAAATTTGCGCTCTGCTCGATGGAGAATAAAGTAAGTTTCTTAATTTGAAAAACTGTTTTATACTAGTTTTACCTGATAGGCTCTTGTTTTTGCTGCTTGCAGGTACGAGATCATGGCAGGAAACTTTTGGAAAAACATGTCCAGAAACCCTTCTTTGACGCAGAGTACGCTTCTTTCCGTTGAAAAGATCCACAATTATCTGATTCAAGCGCACACAAAAAAAACTGTGGCCTTGTATTTAACTTTGTTCTTTCTCTGAAGAGGTGTGTAATGAATCACCTTAAGGTTATGTTTCTCTTCTTTTTCTTTTTGCTAACAGTTATGGGAGAAGTGTCCCAAGGATGAGCGTTGAGGAGTTGGATGAAGGGAAACTGTGGTTGAATGACACCTTCACTCTCATAAGGTAAAACCTTCCGCCTTTGTGGAGCTTATGCAGCTTTGACATGTTGTGTTAATAATAATTTGGTGTTCTCATGACTAATCAGATGTGAACTGGATTCACTTCCAAGTATTGGATGGGTTCTGGAACGTGCAAAAGCTGCTGTTCTTCGGTATGGGATACGAGGACTTGTCATAGATCCTTACAATGAGCTTGATCATCAACGCACTCAACGACAGTGAGTGATAGTAATGTTTGTCACTTTCAGTCAGTTTTACCTTATTTCGCGTCTAAAACAAGAGCTATTTCTACTCGTTTTGGATAGGACGGAAACAGAATATGTCAGCCAGATGCTGACGAAGATAAAACGATTTGCGCAACATCACTCTTGTCATGTCTGGTTCGTTGCACATCCAAAACAGTTGCAACAATGGGACGGAGGTCCACCAAACCTGTATGACATTAGCGGGAGTGCACATTTCATTAACAAATGTGACAATGGGATTGTTATTCACAGAAACCGTGATGAAAAGGCTGGACCTCTTGATTTAGTGCAGGTGAGTAACATTTACTTCTTCTCAGTCTGCAATGTACTTTAAAATAGGTACCTACTTGTCCTAAACAAGGTAATTTAACTTGTGTGTGTTTCAGATTTGTGTCAGGAAAGTGCGAAACAAGGTTGCAGGACAGATTGGTGATGCATACTTGTGCTACGACAGGTACATTAACTCTTCAACTTCTCTCTTTTTGCAATTGTTCACAATATTCACAAGTACTCAGAGTTTAGATTAAAGAGGAAGTGGTTCAGTAATGAAATCTTTTTTTTTTTTGGTTCCACAGGGCAACTGGTTTGTTCTCAGATTCTCCTATAACACCTGAGAAGCCTGAGAGGAGATCAAGCAGACGGCCATGATCCGGTTTGGTGAGTTGAACACACACATTGGGACATAGTCAATAACATTTGTCTGCTAAATTTTATCCCTTTTTGTTAGAATTCAAAGACTGTCTAAGTTTAATGTGGATGGTTTTTACGTGTTACTCTCTTCTGTCTGGTGGATCTGATTCAAAAACGTGAGTTTTAGATTTGATTTGTGTACAGCTCCATGATCTGGTGATCTTTTGTGCTCTGTCTTTTTCTGTAGTTTGTGCTGCTTCTCTTTGTCTCCTCCCTTTTATTGCGGCTGGTTCGGCGGGGTGAGTTTAGTTTAGCTGGAACTGTTAGACTTCAACTTCTTTGTTATAAGTTATTACAACTCTTTGCTAGCTGCTTCAATCATTTGCACTGCTTTGGCTTACTTCTCTTTGTTGTTTTATCTTAATTATGATTGGCACGCAAATAGTTTTAAGAAAAGACTTAAAAGTTGCGGCGGTGCACTTTAAATGTCATCATATAATTATTGGGAGGTCATTAATATTTGGACATACATTTTTATTCGCCTCAGATATGACCAAGACCAACATTTATTGATACTAGAGATTTTACCCCCCCCCCCCGGGTTATACAAATATGATTGAACTAATATATATATATCAAACATATATTACATTTGCGTTATAAAAATGTAAATAATATTTTACCAAAAATATATTAATAGTAAATTGAATATATATTTTGTAAATTGAATTAAATATGAGAGAAAATTTATTGTTTCTAATATTTAAAATATGAGCAAATATGAAATGAATAAAGAATTTGTTAAACTTTAGTTTTATCCATAATATTTTTTTATCTTACATATTTAGGTTAATATAAAAAATATATTAGTAATCTCAACTTATTTAAAATTTTTTACTTTAAATCACTAAACTTGCTCTTTCTCACTTATAATTTAGTTCAAAATTATACTTGGGAAATATATATGGTGTTTAGAATCTGTATAAATTGATGCCATCATTAACTGTGATATCTTCATGACTACTGCCCGTATGTAGAACAACTTTGGAAATTGACATCAATATTTGTTTGATGCTAAATTTAAAATGTAAAAACTTGCAAACATCATTATCTAAAAAGTAATAACTGTAGAACTGATTCTATACTTTATTTTGACACTTACATTGGTTCATTGTCGGAGTTATTATTTTGATTACTTTCTTTAGGAGTTTGTTCATATTTTTTGAATCACTATCTTAAATTTCTAATGTATCAAGGAAAGATTTTAGGTTAAAAATTCAGTAACAAATCTAATTAGAGAATTTATATTTAATTAAACGAATGACTAAATCCCTAAGACCAAAATGAATGACTAAATTATTATTTAGTTCTTAACAATAGTAATTACAAATGATAAGATAAAAATTATATTTAATTATTAATAAATGTATTATTCCTTCTCTTTTTATTACTTGATGTTTATGTTTATGCACAAGGTTTTTAAAAATACAGTATTGTTTTTGTGTATTTTAAAATAAAAACATATTAACTATTTACCTAACTCAACTCAACCAATAGAAAATAGATTACAGAATTTAAAAAGTCATATAACATTAACATAATTAATTTTATATTCAAATTTAAAAATATCATATAGTTTGAAACAAACAAAGAAAAACGGAGAGAGTAATTTTTATCGTATATGAATAATCCGAGTTCAAATATTATTTGATTGCTCAAGAAAATACACACTTATCTCTTATACGCTGGTTATGTATATGTATATTTTAATTTTTAATTTAGGGAGTTTTTAAAATATCAAAAGCTCCACTTTAATATTGTAGTAAACTGGTTTTAGTTTCAGAATTTAGTAGTCAAACTTATTTTTGTTTTTGAGGAATTAAAATATATATGAATTAAAATATGTATATAAAATAATAAAATAATAATTTTAAATATACTACATAATAATTTCTATAATATCGTAAATAATAGCTATTGTCTTTTTGTAAAAAATAACAAAATGATGTCTTGGAAAATATATTAGTATTGCATGTATTTAAAAGCTCAAACATAATTAAAAGCAGAAGTACACAACAAACCATAATTAATCATCCGTGTTGTTTTTCTTGTGTTACTCTTCTATTTGTTTCTGTCAAGTCGCCATGTCCATACTCATGCTAAGCATTAAGAATTGCTATAGTTTGTTCAGATAGAAAATCCATGTATGCAAAATGAAACCAAACCATCAGAACTATAACAAAACAAAAGCTCTCACTTAAATCCATCAAGCCGTCATCAGAACTAATAACCATTATTTCTACCTTATGTTTAAAAAGTTATAGATCTCTTCATAATAAACAAAAACTATAGCCTGTGTTATAAACAAAAGCTCTTACTTAGGATGAATCATGACCATTGTTTTGAACCGTTAAACAGGATTGGTTTCTACTAACAGTAGCTAGTGCGCACACAGTTCCGCCCAATTCAAAGACAAAATCCAAGGATTAGCACAAAGAACATGTACACAATCTGTTAGTGGAGTTCAGGAGACCTATTTTTGCACAAATGAGTGAACTAATGAAGTAAAAGAGATCAAAACTGAAAATAACAAAGGAAACCATTGAGAATTTAGAATGATCAAACCTTTTCATGCTTCGCTCAACAATTAACATCCCTAATTGTAAAAATAACAAAATCATAAAACATATCAAACGCATATAATTAAATGGACGAAACAATTAGCATTATATTACCAGCCCAAAAAGGAGACACACCACAAAGCAAGATGATTAGAATAATCCCTTCACTCCAAACATCAGTCTCCTATCCATAACTTTGTTTTGATACTTGAGTATCATAAGCATAATCAGAAGACTATCAACTAAAATGGCATAACTTACTTGAAAGTGGAACGTTTTATCAAGCAAACAATTACAGACACTATAATTCACAGAGCCTCTGTTTTGAAGTTAACCACTATATACTAAATGAGATCAGATTCGTAAGTTACATAATAGTGTCCACTACCAAATTTCAGTCAGATGGGGACACGTATGAGCCTCTAACAATCTTTTAAAGTTGCTACAACTTAGCAGTTTTCTGCATTTCTGTATATTCAAATGTACAAAGAATTGTATGCATTGAGCGATACAAAGCTTTAATATAAAGCAGAAGTGTACGTTAAGGTTTCCACTGATAAATAAGAAAACATAATGAGAAGGGAAATCCTAGAAAAAAAATAGCTTACTTAGAGAGAGATATCAGATATATAATGGGATGCCTCTCAGTAGTGCTGTGAAGCAGCCATGGAATTAATAGGTGGAAATTGGCAGGTCTTAGGAGCAACGTCTTGCCCGCATGGCTTTCTTCTTCCCATTAATGTCATTAGCTTGTGAACTTCTATTACCAGTAGACCCTGGTTTACCTATGGCAGAGGCGCATGCTACACATGATTTAGGAAATTGGAAGTTAAAGTACTTAGTTATACTGACTGATATACCTTGTCCTGGCGCGTAATATTCTCCCAGTCAATGAGCTGTCGTTTTGGTGTTGCATGAATTTGGATCTTTTTAGCTTCTCTGCGGATATGGTATCCTTCTATAGATCACAAAAGCATAGATAAGCAATTTTAGCGATTCCAAAAAAATCTGAGAAAGTGCACCACGACGAATAAAGACGATGAGAATCAACCACATGTCTATGTTTTTACAATGCTGACCTCATTATCTGACTGGTTCTTTCGCTTTCTTCCCTTTAGTAGCTGCATCATTCAAATTTAAAATTATTTTATTCGAAGCTGTAAGGAAAATTTTGACTTAGGTTGTAGCATAATGGTAACATAGAAAAACTTATATATTTATATCTAAAGGTTCCCTCCAACGCAAGGTCAAAGAATCGAAACATACAAATGAATTAACCAATTCACAGGAAATAATTACATTATTGTCAGCGATCAAAGATATATTGTGGATGTAATGTAATATTAAAGGAAACCTGTGAGGAAGCCGATACATGGAACTGGTTCCAACATCTTCTGGATGCTTTTCAGCTGCTGCCTGAAATCACAGCCAAAGCAGTGAATTAATAATTTAGGGTTACAATACGGTTATATATTTTTTGATACTCGAAGCAAAAAGAGTAAAACCAGAAAGGAACAGAGATATACATGTTAAATTCCCCCACTCACTTTGTGTACATGATGAAGAATATAATTCTCATGAGGTACAATGCCCTCAGCATTGATGGTGTTCGTCTATTGATTAGAATGGTGATCCTTGTATGCCTCCTTAATCTGCATGATCTCTCAGTTTATAAAGCGTAAAAACATTCTAGTACACCTGGATTGCTCACATACCTAATGATAACAGAGAAGAAGAAAAGGTCTCAGTTTCGATCATGATGTCAAACCCCAACCCCCAAAAGACCCATTTTAAGACAATTTCTATTGGTATAAAACCTTTGAACTGTTCCTTTAGTGAACCAAGAGGCATTGTTTCTATCGGCAGGCTCGAGAATAATCGAGTAGCCAAACCACCTTTAGTAAGTGATGTCTTGCATATTTCCAATGTCTTATCCATTCATCCATGTGCATTTTGATCATATAGACTAGGATTTAGTCATTTCTAGGTTGCATTTTGCATACATGCGTCCTTTTCAGGTAATGGAGTATCCTTGGAGTTCTTGGAGGTGATTGAGTGGATTTGAGATCCAAAAGGGGGTGAAAGATGAGCACGGATGGAGCCTTTAGAGAAATCTTCTATTGCTAAGATTTTGTGAAGACACAGAAAATTGAGTTAACTTTCTAATGGAAGTGGTTTCAAGTCATTTGAAGATGTAATGAAGGAGTTATGACCAATTTACTAGAGGCATATCCACCCTGTTCGAGTATCCTGGAGCGACCTGCCAGAGCGACCTACCAAGGTCGCTCCCAGCCAGAGCGACCTCCCGGAGCGAGGCACCTAGGTCGCTCGCGTTTNCCCTGGAGCGACGTCTCGGAGCGACGTCCATAGGTCGCTCCCAGCCAGAGCGACCTCCTGGAGCGACGTTCGAGGTCGCTCCGGGTCATTTTTTTGGTCGAAAACTTGTGTTATTTCAGGGACCTTTTGGTCATTTGTTTTATGTTTTTACACTTCCTAAACCTAAGTTTAAGTACTCTGTAAGCCTCCATGGCAGATCGATCTTGATTTTTAGAGAGAAACACACAAAAACTCTTGGAAAGTTCATCTTTTGAATGATTCTTATTGTTCTTGTTTTGTTTCTTTGTTGATTTCTTATCTATTCTCTACATGATTAATCTGAAATCCAATATGGGTTTAAGAGGAATTATGGAGATTAGTGAGTAATCACCTTTTGAATTCATGGGTTAGGGAGATTAAGGGTGATTAGGTTAGATTTAGGATGTTTTAATGTTAGATTTCTCTTGTTCCTTGCTTATTAGAGTAACCATAATGCCTCTTTTGAA